GTGGGACCCGCCGAGGCGACGCCATCGGCATGGGCCAGTCGACGTCAGCGCGTGTTCCGCGGCGGCCTGCTGGGCCCAGCACCTGAGCGGCGCGCGAAACTACCTTCGGCGAGCGGCGGCCCAGCTCGGACGCCCACTGTCGCCAGGTGTTGAAACCGAGCGACACGGACCCTTGACCGGCGACGTTAACTCGGCCGGCCGAGCAGGGGCGAGCGTGGCGGCGTTAACTCGGCCGGCGCACTATGTAGACAGTCCCGCTGCGCAGGTGCTGGGGAGGTGCGCTGGCTCCACCACGAAGGATGGCGAGTTCGACCCGTTCGAGAACGTCGACGTCCAGGGCGACGTGCAGGCCGGCCTGGTGGCGGACCCAGAATCGCGCCCTACGACGCCCCACGGTGCCCTGCGGTTCCCGACGGCCCACGCGTGCCCTATGTCGCCCTCCGGAGCCCTACGGGGCGCTATGGGGCCCACGGAGCCCGGCGCCCTACGGCGCCCTACGGCGCCGGCTAGCGCCGACCCCGGGGTTCTCACAGCTTGTGTCGACAAGATGGTCCCCGCACCTTGCGTCGGCCCTTGGGTTCCCACAGCTTGCGTTGGCAAGGGGGTTCCCACGGCTGGCGCCGACCCTTGGGTTCCCGCAGCTTGCGTCGGCAACGAGGTTCCAACAGCTTGCGCCGACAAAGGACGTCGACGCGCAGGGCGACGCGCAGGCGCTTGTCTTGGCGCCTGCGGCGACGGCTGAGGAAGCCACTCGGGGCGCAGGCTGCGCTGCGTTGGACGGCGAGCACGACCCATTCGACGACCTCAACGGGCAGTTCGACGCGCAGGCGGTGCAGGAGGCGCAGGTTTCGTCGACCACTGGCCTGCGCAGGGAGGCGCGTGTGTTTGTTCCTGCGGCAGCTTCGGGGTGCTCGGGCATGCGAGCCGAAGCGCCTGCTTGCGTTCCTGAGTCGGTGGCGGCCTCCGCGGCAGCAGGTGGCGCTAGTCCTGACCGCCCCCCGCCTCCCTTGAATCCCAAGGCGAGGGAGAGGTTGATCCAGGGCGTGGCGAAAGCTATGCTGGAGCTGGAGGCCTTCACCGCCAAGTTGAAGCAGCGGGACTCGTTACTCTGGCACCTCGACATCGAGGCTGGGGCCTTCTCCGGCGCTGGCCCTGACGTGCTGTCCTGGCCCTCCTTCGAGCGGCAGGTCGCGCGCATCTCTCAGCGCGGTGCTGGCCTCACCGCCCCGGCGGAGGCCACCTGCGCCAAGGGCTGGGCGAACTGCGCCAAGGAGGCCTTCAGCGGCGGGGCGAGCAGGGCCCATCGCTTCACGAAGCCCAGGGAGCAGGTCGAGGTGCCCAGGACCTGCGCTAGCGGACAGCCCAGCGACCTGGCCGAATTAGAGCTGCAGGACTGGCAGCATGTCTGGGCTCGGCACGGGCTGAGCGCGGCTCAGCTCGCGTTAGGCCTGGCCCGACGTGCCGCCCATCACCGTGGCGGCGTCGAGGGCGGCCATTCGGACTTTCGCCGAGTGCGCGGCAGTGGGCCAGACGGGCTTCTTCCCTCGGCAGCTCCAGCACCTGTCGGACCAGGCGCTGCTGGGCCTCACCCTGCTGTTCACGGCGTGGGAGCAGATGCTCGGCTGGCCCCCCGAGCGGCTGGTGACAGCGTTGGTGCGCCTGCCGAAGGCCGACGGCGGGATGCGCCTGATAGGCCTGCTCAACACGGCGGCCCGGGTCCGGAGCCAACCTCTCCTGCCGCTGGCAGCGTAATGGGAGGCCGCCCACAAGGTTCCGCATGTTTGGGGGATGGGGTCTGGACGCAGCTCCTCCGCGCCCGCCCTCTCGCTCAACATCGCGGCCGAGGTGGCCATCGCGCAGAAGGGAGACGTGATGACGCTGATGGTGGACCTCTTCAAATGTTTCGGGGTGGTCGCCCCGGAGGCGCTTATCTGGGAGGCGATGGCGGTGGGATTTCCGCCGAGGCTGGCATGGCTCCTGACCCAGCTCCACCAGCAGCCGAGGCTCTTGCGCGCCCATGGCAGCCTCTCTCGGGCCTGCGTGTCTTACCAGGGCACCGTGGCAGGATGCTCGCTGGCGGTGGCTCTCCTGACCGTGCTGATGCATCGATCCACGGCGCGGCTGAGTGCGCTATGCCCGACGCTGCAGCCGCGTCAGCTGGTGGGTGACTGTTCGTTGCAGTGGAGCGGCCCCAAGCACCTTTGCGCGGAGGAGCTGGCCGAGGGCATGGACGTGCTGATCGACGAGCTCGCTGCCCTCCAACTCCCCGTGCAGGTGAAGAAGCTCGGGTACGTGGCCTCGTCGAGGGCGGTTAGGTGCGCTTTTGCGCCTGCCGCGCGCGCGAGGAGCGCGGTCGCACCCCTGGTTGCGCAACCTGGGGCATGAGCTGGCGGGGCCCACCGACCGCCGGCAGCAGGAACGCAACCGGTTGCAGCAGTTGCGCGGCCAGGCGCGGCGACTTCACACCTTGAAGCGGGCCGTAGGCATCAGGCGTATGACGCGCGTCCAGACGACGGGGCTCACGCCGTCGGTGCTACACGGGGCCGCAGCTAGTGGTGTCGCTGAGCATGTGTTGGTCCCGGTGCGGACGATGGCTGCAGTCATTGCTGGGGTCAAGCCCACTGGGGGCATTTGCATGGGCATGCAGCTCCGGACAACCCCAAGTACGACCCGATGTACTTGGCCACGACGTCAATTGCTTTGGGATGGCCACCTCAAGCTCGATGGGCTGACGGAGGCATGGGCGTTCGCGCACGGGCGGATCATGAGCAGCCCAGTTGGGCCAAGGTGCGAGGCCCGATGGCGGCGCTCTGGATGACGCTGCACAGGATAGACTGGGCGCTCACGTCGGCCACCTCCTTCACGGCGGACGAGGACGAATCCCTCGACCTGCGCACCGTGGCGCCACGCGACGTTCGGGGCCAGGTCGAGCGCGGGGTCACGCGCTGGTTACTACGACGGGCTCAACAGCACCTGCCTGGTCACAACGGTGAGCGATTTTGGCACCGAGGTATTCGGCAATGTGTGGTTCGCAAGCATGGTGTGCAGTCTCCGTCGCAGCGCGGTGCACTCCAGGCGGCGCGGAATGACGCGATGTGGCTTCGTCAGAAAAAGTACGATCGACGTTTAGTCGGTAGTCCTAGGTGCCTCGCTCCAGGCTGTGGGGCCCCGTCTGAGAAGTTTGGCCGCCGTTGGCACGCGCGCCCTGCTCTCCTCGGTTCCTCCCTCCACCCCGAGGCGCCCCCTGGGGCGATTGTCAGAGCTCGGGAGGGCATGACTCGGCAGGCCCAGGAGTGTTCTCTCGAGGGCCCGTTTGAGTCTGTGGCTCTCGCGCATGGGATCCCGATGGGGCCTCCTGCCGCCGAGGCCCCGAGCCCTTGCCCGGACTTTGTCTATGAGTGGGGGGGGCCCGCGGTGCCCTGGAGGGGACGTCTGATTCTGGGCGGCGGCGGGTTTGGCCTCGACGCCCCCGAGGTCAGCCGCTGTTCATGGGCCGTCGTCCAGCTCCAGTCGGACGGAAAACCATGCAAAGCATTGTTTGGCACTTTCCCTGGTGCGCAGACCATCGGACGTGCGGAGCGGTATGCCGGGCTTGTTGCACTGTCTCTGTCCAGCCGGTTCTCGGCAGTGGTCTCAGATCACCTCTCGTTTGTCCAAGAGGGGGTTCGCTGGGACCCTCGCGACGCGGGTGCTAAAGGGCGTCGCGCGTCGCTCTGGCGGGCCATTCGCGCGACGATACAGAGGCGTGCGTCCGCGCAGGTGCCCGCTTTCAGTTGGATCCCCAGCCACAAGACATGGCAGGAGCCGTTGGACCTCGGCCTTGGCACGGTGGATTGGCATGGGAATGGTTGGGCGGACTTCATCGCTACAGTGGCTTTAGATTTGGCCGGCGCAGCCAGGAGCTTCACTAGGGCCCTCAAGTTCCGTATGGAGGAGGCCCGCCGGACGGCCAGGTTCATCGCGTGGGCTGCCGAGCGCGTGGCTGCTTCGGGCGTGCGGGACCCTGCGGAGCCCGACCATCGGCGTTTGCGGCAGGCTAAAGGGCCCACGAAGCCTGCCTTTGTGGCCCACGAGTATGCCGTCCTGCCTGGTGGTGGCGTTAGGCGCATGGCCTGCAACAAGACGGCATTCACGCCAGAGACTCGGCGAGCTCTGGATTCATATCCTTGTGTGGAGTCCCCGCTGGCCAGGCTTCGAGCTAAGTCGGCCCTGGCGGCTGCTCGTGTTGGCCCGGCTGCTCCCCCCCCTTCGGCCGCGGTGGCCCTCGCCCTCGCTGTCGCCGCGGCGGTCGCCGCGTCGTCGATCCCGGGGAACGAGTCGTTCGCCGCGTGGTCGGCGAACGGCTCCCTCTCCTCTCGGCACGTCCGCCGTGCGCGCCCCGCCTTCGGCTTTCCCCAGACATGCGACGTCACGATGATGGTTGTTTCTAAATGTGGGCACGCGGTCCTACCGATATCATCTCAGGGATTTATTGTTCCGATTCAATATTTTTTGGGAGCCACCATTCATTGTTCAATGTTGTTTAGGGGTGCTGCAGTCTGGCTAAAATATCAAATTCATCCTGTGGTGTAGGGTCCTCATTTTAGATAGACAGCACCCCACGTCATTTCATTTCTTCCAACCTCCCTGTCCTCTGCATGCCCATTTTGGCACACCTCTCACGTTTCGTAGCCTCATAGGGACCTCCAACTAATGCCCCCGGGGGGGGTACCGCATGCGGCCCCCTAGCCATGTCGGCACACCTCTCACATGCTTCCTGGCCCCGTAGGGGAGATCCAACTGAAGCTCCAAGAGGGGGGGGGAACGCATGCAGTCCCCCATCCCATCTCGGCACACCCGTCACACGTTTCGTGGCCCCAGGGGGAGCTCCACTGAGCTCGATGTTCACAAACGCGCTGCTCACAACTGAATATGGTTGGGCCCTTCGCTGGGGTAATTGTTTGGTTTTCGGAGGTTAAGGTCGCTGGCTCCCTCGCCCGTTGGACCACTCCGACAAGAGCCCCAGCTTTGCCTGATTGGAGGCCCCACACGGTCAAAGATGTCCAAAAACCGAGATCGTCGCCTCCGTAGCCGTTTTGGCTCAGGCATTTCTCGGCTCAAGCCTGCCACGATCGAGACGGCCCAGCTGGTGCCCGGCTGCTGTTCAACGGCAGCGCGCGACCTTTTTTCCCCCCCCAACTGCTCCAGCCGCGCGGCATCCGATAGCCATGGCGCAGGCCGTCCTTGGTCCTGGAGTCTGCGGCACCGCCGCGCCGCAGCAGCACGATCGCCCGGCTCCTGCGTGGCACCCGGGGCTCCAAGGCAGCGTCGAGTGCCGCTCCCCATCCCTGGACGGGGCCGCCGGCGAGTCGGAGAGGTCCACCGCCGTGGGGATGCCCGATAGGTTCATTTTTCAGAGCTTCGCGTCGACGGCCAGCGGCATGCCGTTGATGGCGCCGCCAGGGCGGTGGGCCGTCGGCTCCGAGGCGAGCACTGCGCCCATCGTGCCGTCGCCGACGTGCTGCCAATCGGACCCCGTGCCGTGCGGCCTGAGCATGCACGACCGCCACGCCGCGGCGCCGTCGAACCCCCTCAGCAGCTATGTCAAGAAGGAGTGGGACGAGGACAACTTCCCATCGGCGATTGTCCTCTACCCCGGCACGGACGACGAGGGCGAGCCCCAGGTCGGCGGCGTGGGAGCTCTGGCCGGTCCCAGCGCCGAAGCCGAAGCGCCACTACGCCCGCATCCCAACCGCCATGTTCGGACAGGCGTCGGCATTGCCCAGCCCTGGCCAGCGCGTTCGGGCCATCCTGGGGACGCGCCTGGGGAACCGCCACACCGTCCCGGTGGATCAGCAGACCACGGCGGCTCCCGCGACGGCCATTGGTATCGTGGTGGCCTCCACGGCGCAGGAGACCCTGGCTCACGCTGTTCATGAGAGGAAGGTAGGTTGGCAGGCTCGGCGCGCCACCCAGCCCAGGATCACCACCCTGGTGGTGCGCAACCTACATACCTCGACATCTCAGCAGGAGTTCCTTGACGAGGTCAACCGCAGTGGGTTCGTACAGAAGTACAATTTTGCATACCTTCCGAGGAACTTCGGGGACGGCTCTGGGAAAGGCGTGGCGTTCATCAACTTCAGGACTGCTGATGCGGCCAGCACCTTTGCGGCCGCCTGGCACCGCTCCAGGCGTCTCAGCACCAAGGATGAGGCCGGCAAAGACGTCCCGCTCAACGTCTCCAGCGCCTTTGTGCAGGGCCTCGAGGCGAACCTGCGCAAGTGGACCGGCGGACGGGTGACGCGCGTCCAGAATGCTGACTTTTTGCCCTTTGTCCTCGAGGATGCAGAGCCAGAGCCGATGGCCTCGTGGCCAGAAGCTTCGGAGCTTGCCGCCGTCGTTGCGATGAATCCTCGCTGATCCTTGCCAACACTTCACGCTCGTCACACTAAGCATATGTATCAGCGCTGCCCCTTAGCTCCGTGCTTCCTCTATGACTCCGTCCATCGACGGGCGGTCTCGCCCGCGGTGCGTGTATTCGAGCGCACGCCAATTGTGGCACGGACGTGAGTGAGGCTGAGTCCTTTTGCTGATCCCAGCTTGAGAAGCGAGCGCTATAGCTTATATCCTTGCCAACATTCCACGCTCGTTACTCTAAACGAATGTATCAGCGCTGTTCCTTCTCCTCTATGATTCCGTCCGTCGACAGGCGGTCTCGCCCGCGGTGCGTGTATTCGAGCGCACGCCAATTGTGGCACGGACGTGAGTGAGGTCAGACGGAGCGTTGACGCACGACTTAATTTTATAAGCAGGTGTTGTCCAGACCCAGCTTGAGAAGACAGCTTATACCCTTGCCAACTCTTCACGCTCATCACACTAAACGAATGTATCAGCGCTGGCCCACACCTCCATGTTTCCTCGATGACTCCGTCCATCGACGGGTGGTCTCGCCCGCGGTGCGTGTATTCGAGCGCACGCCAATTGTGGCACGGACGTGAGTGAGGTTAGACGGAGCGTTGAGGCGCGACTTCTTCGACTTTGTTAAGCAGTTGCCTTCGAATTTCTCTCCCTCATGATTTTCGTTTTTGTTTTCGTTTTTGTTGCGCGTCATCGGCGCAGGATAGGGAGCACCTTTTCACTCCTCGTGGAGGAGGTCGGGGAGGTGGTGGGTTAGGAGGAACTGGAGGGAGGATGAGGAGAAGGACGAGGCTCTCTGGCCTTTGCTTCCGCTTCTGGCCGAGCTCGTTACGTGCGTTTGCCGATGCAAAAAGAAACACTGATCGTCGCCGCCGTTGTCGTCGTCGAGAGCCTGTGGGTCCGTCTTGCGGAAGCTTCGTGCCCCGTCTGGGGACTCGGGGTGTTTCTTGTAGCCGTTCTGGGGATGTCTGGACGACTTCGGATCTTTTCGGGCTGGCTGGAGCTGCCCCATGGCCCCTGAGGGACTGTTTGGGCGATCCGCGGCCGTCTTTAGACGTCTTGAGGCTATATTTGAGGCCCTCTTGGAGCATTCTTGAGTCCCTTGGGCCGTCTTGGGGCTTTCTTGGCCATGATTTGTCCTGCGACTCACGGTGCGAGGGGGTCTGAAGGCTGTTTTTCTTTAGGCCAAAACAAATTTCATTGCATGGCATTTCCCCCTCTTTCCATTCCGACGCCTTTTCAAACAACACTGCACCTAAAAAGGCGCGTAAGTCAATCCAGACTTGCGCGGAGCTCTGCTTTCCTTCAGGGCCTCGCCACGCCCCCCCCCCCGGCAGGAACGGGTGCACCAGAAAGGAGATATTGCAGAGCATCTGGCAGAAAAGGGTAGAACGGAAGACCCTGAGATCCGACGTTGCAAAAACGCTGCAGCATCGTAGAAATCACGCCCGGAGTCCTAGACCCCATCTTTCTGCTTCATTTCTCGAACCAGATCGAGCTTCGAGGGTCCCGGGGCCCAAAGTCGAGCGAAAACGCGGGTGGCGAAACAAAAATTGCATCGCCAGGATCCTCAGGGTTAAGTGAATTCTGGCGCTCTGGCGCCCCCGCCGTGCCCCTCGCGGGCCGCCTTCCGAGACGTCTTCGGCGCCCGCCTCGCCTAACCTTGTATAAAATGATCACTGGCGAGGAGGCATGATGCCAAATACTTTCCAGATGTCTCAATCATGTTTCAAACGTGTCTCTAACGTGCCGGAGCATGATTCAAACATCGTTCGAACATGTCCCTAAACGTGTATAATACATTTGAACTACATGTTTCACTCAACGATATATTGGTTAGAGTCCGTAGCAATGTTGGGTCATGTTTGAAACGCTGCCCCGGCGCTTCGAACTTGGACGCTGCCAAGGGGTTGGTTCGAGCGTCCCGAGGTTCGTCCCCGCAATCTTCTCCAATCGTGCACCAAAGCACGCGGTGTTCAAGCGTGAGAACAATTTCTCGGATCACCCCAGTCTCCCCATCGACTGCGATGTCGGGCTCTGCCGAAGTGCTGGCTGCGATTGGCTCGATGAAGTCGGAGCTGCCCACGGCGATTGGAGCTGCTGACGCTCGGACGGACGCTTTGGAGGTACAGATGCAGGGCCTGCAGGCCCAACAAGTGACAGCTGTGCGGGAGATGCAAAGTCTAGTCAGCAATATGTCGGCCAGCTGGGGGGAGCGTTTCCAACAGGTGACGGGCTTTGCGATCATGGTTGACGATACCGGTGGCTGGCATGACTGTAAAGAAGGCACGACATCATCATCATTGACAGTGATAGAGGAAAAAATGGAGGCTAAGTTGAAGAGCGTTCAGGAGCAGCTTGCGACGATTTTACTTACCCCGTCGACTGCGGCGAGTACGGACAGTAGCAGTCCCCGCAAGCATCCAGCGGTCCACCAGTCGCCTGATATGCACACGGGTTCGATGCAGCACAGCGAGAAGGAACAGCACAACCCTTGCCGAATATGGATCGGTGGCTGGCCTCGGGAGGTACTCTCGCAGTACCGCAAGGAGCACTGGGAGTGGTGCGAAACGCAGGTGCCGCAAGATATGGTAGCAGATGTAGAAGCCTCGCTCCATCGTGCGAGCCGTTCGTAGTCAGTGATTTTCAAGTCAGAGGAAGCGGCGACCCGTTTCAAGTAGTGGGCGGTCACAACACCTTCGATGTGTAACGTTGTCGTGATCGTGCCAAGAAGTTTCCAAGTCGCGTTCGAGGTAGTTTTCCATTGCCTGCGCGCATGATGAAGAACACGCTCTCTTGTCTGTGGGGGGCCGATGAAGGCCAAGCTCACGATTAAAAAGGTTTCTGGGACGGTTCGCTTCGCATGGGTCGTTCTAGATTTGGCTCTCGCCGTTTTCAAGTTTCCACTGGCGCGGACTCCTGGGCCATATCCACACTGAAGTCGGAAGATGACCTATTTGTGATTGTACCGGGCCGGGAGGAGTTATACCGATAGAAGTCCAGTGGTGTGGAGATCGATTTCATCATCGACATTGTTGTGGAGAATAAGCCATCCCTCTAGGATGGGGTGCGGCGGATTCCCGCGGCAAGCTTTTTAGCGGTGCAGTGCCAGCTGAACTTTGAGAGCGGCATCTGTGATGATGCACTCGATTCAGCTGGGCATGCTGATCCAGCACCGCCGCCGCCTTTTTTGACTTTTTGCCGTCGGTGTCTGGTCCATCAATACATGCGGCACCGTGCGAGTCTTCGGGCCGTGAGTTTGCTTCTCCTTTTTGCCCCCCCCCCCCTCTCCCTTATCTGTATGTTATTGGCATGCTGGTGGCATGATCATGTCCATGCGCTCCCTGCGTCTTGATCGTGATCAGAAGAAGATGTGTATGTTGGAGCGTCCGTGTCTATCCCGTGATATAGTTGCTACCCAGGAAGCCCATGGCCAGGTGACCTTGACCACCTCGTAACTCAACTCCCATCGCATCTCTTTGGCTGCGCTTTCTTCCCTGACAGTGCTGGCGCCGGTGGCCTGGCCACCGCAGTCGGCAAGAAGTTCGCGCGCAACTTTTCAAAGATTGAGCGTCGTCCACTGATAGATGGCCGCGCGCTCTTGACAGATATGACGGGCCCCCGCGGACCGTGCAAGAGTTTTAATGTCAACGTGCCTAACCCGTCGGGTAACATCAACAGTTACCTTGCAGCGCTTCGCGTTCTCCGTTGTGAGGTCCCGATGTTTTCGGAGCATTGTACGACCGTTCTCGGCGACTGGGATTTTACTCTGGAAGGCGAGGGGCGTCGAAAAGCGCATGGGGGGCTCTGGGGCCCAGGGGGCCGCAGGCGCGTCCAGGCGTTCAACGGCATCCTGCCAGAGCTCATCGAGTTCCATAAGGTACGGACACACGTCGGGCGATCGTAGATAACGTGATTGATCACACTGCGAGGCTGGATCGTATTTACTGTTCGCTGCCTAGCGCTATTCTTGCTGATGTGAGTATTACAACACCCACGATCGGCCGCATCAATCGATATGCCGTTGGACCACATCCCTGCCATGTCGAATCTTCCGATATAGCCCCCAACCAGTCGGAGTGCAAGAATATCCCGCTATGGCTAACCATGTCTCCTGAGTTTGCTGAGGGGCTGGGCGGGCTCTTGCTTGCCCCCCCCCCCCCCACCCCCTGGTGCTGAAGAGAGTGCTGCGCGTTTGGCCAAGGCCGAACCATGCGTGAATCCTGCGGCGACGCGCGCGCGTCGACATATCAATTTTCGAGTTGCCAGCACGCGCGAGGAGTGTCATCATTGGTCTATGGCTGCTCTGCGTGTCCTTCGGCTGCAGAATGTTGGAATGATTGGTACTGCTATGGTTTGTTACCCCAAGCTTTCTGCATAGATTGATGACACTACTCTTGAATGTGCTGTCTGACCCCTCTCTGCCAGCGCGTTCGCGACCTGTATATGAAGGTTCTTGATGCGGAGACGACGGGGCTGGATAGCCCCCCCCCCCCCCCCCCCCCCATGGCATCCAGCGGCAGAAGGAGGAGAAACATGCCGCGCGGCGCCGAAGTTTTTGGCAGCAGTTCCGTCGTCGTGCTTGGCTTCAAGGAGTGGTTGGCGAACGCGGCGCCCCCTGCCCTTCCCCCGGGGCCTCCGCCGAGGCCGCGAGGACCCGCCCGGGAGATGTCTTCTGGTGAGGTGCAAGGAGGCCGCCCCAGGTGGCCTGGGCCACCGTCTTTTGTCCAACAGGTACCCTTAGGTGCTAATGTGTCTTGGGAAGTGGATGATGGTGCGTTCTTTGTTGACATCGTAAAGACTCGTGTGCGTAGTATGCCTGGGCCCGATGGGATCCCTTACTATTGTTGGCGCCTTGGGGATGCCCCGCGTGTCCTCTTCGGTTTGCATCGTGACCTGGTATCTTGACAGACTGATTCTCTTCCTCGGGACATGCTGGGGGTTATCATGGTTGCCCTGCCGACGGGGGACTCGCAAGGTGATGTTGGGGCCCACGTCCTTAGGGCACCCGAAAACACACACACACACACACACACACACACACACACACACACACACACACACACACACACACACACACACACACACACACACACACACACTTTCCATGGCGAGCACAGACGCAGAGCTCCTGAGCTCGCGCGTGCGCCGCCCATTGAACGAGGCTGCCATCATGTGGTCTCTCTTTCGCAAGCTTGTGTCTCTGGCCGCAGCATGGCTGCGCGCATTGTGCGTGCTGAGTCCTGGGCGCCCTCGGGGCACGTCTCTCTCTCGCTGACCCTGTTGGGCTACTCTGCCGCCTTCCCCGTCGATCTCGATTGACTGGTCTCTGGCGGTCTTGGAATAGCCGTATGTTTGATTTTGAGAATATTGCTTTAATATCTATCATGGATAAGGTCTATACTACGATTGACGTTGCTGGAGGGGTTCGCCAGGGGGGCCCGCCTCTATGATTCTTTTTTGTTTCGGAATTGCCCCGCTTCAGATTTACATCAGTAAGCGCTGCTGGGAATATCTACATCTCAAGCTTGATTATGCTGATGACTGCGCGCATGGTATTCGTGATGCTATTGCCCACCTCGGTCACCTGTTTAAAGTGGTTCAGTCTCTTGTGGCCGCTGTTGGCCTGGCTCTGAATATCCGCAAATGCCTGGTGCTCTGTCACTCTTCTGTATTTCAAGCTCGGCTGAAGCACTATATCGCGGCGCATCTTCCTGAGCTGTTGATGCAGATCCAGGTCGCCCTCTCGCGTGAGTACCTGGGAGTGATGATCGGCTGCTCCGCTCGCGAATGCTATTGGCAGAAGCCGGTTGCAGAGTTCGTTCCCCGCGTGAGAGGTGCGCCAGGCTGGCTTCGCATTTGCCAAGACTATCCCGGCGTTCCACGCCCTCTGCCTCAGTATCTTGTCCTTCGCCATGCACTTCGCACCTGTCGCGCGATGTGTGTGCGGCGTATAAAATGCTCTGCAGCTTCTGGTTGTTGGTCCGCGTTTCAGTTTTAATTATGAGATGTTGACGAACCTTGCCTCCCTGGGATCTCCAAGTAAGTTGAAAAAACCTGGAAGCTGCGCCTTGGGCTACGAAGTCCAGGCCAGTTCCGCGGTGCTCGGAAATTTTTGAGATATTAGAAGGCCTGGGAAGAGTATTCAAGAGTGACGAGGCCTGTCTTGTTCGCACGTCGTCAGGATGGGCCAGCGTGAGTTTCGCCCTTGCACTTTTGGCAACACGTCGAAAAGCTCGAGGCATCCTGGCGGCGTCTCCCAAGGGCATCCCTGTCGAGGGGAAGCTCTTCCAGGCCGCCGTCGACCGTGCGCTTGCTGCCTCGCCGGACTTCCCCCATGGTGCCAAGATCGACCCGATGATGAGGATGGGGAGGTGGATGGGTGAGGTTCCAGAAGATGCCGCGACGAAGGTCTCGAAAGCTGTCAAGTTTGTGACTCGGAAGGCGAGGCCTTATCTCAGATTGATTTTTTTGCGCGCACGATCAAGAGGTTCGAACGCGTCTGCCAGATTTAACTCTCAGTCTCATGGCTGTCTATTCGATTGCTGCGTTGATACTCGCGACCCCTCTCTCTCTGACCTAGGCGAAATTGCCCATTACTCTCGTTGCTCACGTTCCTACTGGACTTGCGAAATCTGGCTTGGAGAACTGATGCCTCCCATCTCTGAGTCCCCGCCTTGGCTCTTCTCCCTGCTTCCGACCCACGAACGCCCTCGCGCGGTGCTGCATTCAACTGCTGCAATGCTGGGCGCTTCTCTGTTTTCTGGCAATTGTCGCCGCCAACAGCTGCCGTCGGGCAGTGCGTCTCAGCAGATGCGCACTCGGATGCGAGCCACGGCGCGCAGGCGCCGTTCTGTTGCTGAGGCGTGGAGTCTTGAGCGAGGATGAGACTTCTTTTTGAGGCTCCGCGTAGTTCGCGAATGTATTTGCGTTTGCGTCTGGAGGATGGGGCCCTTGGACTCGAGGCACATGGCTCTGGTGGGCCCTCTGCACTGCTCTGCCCTGGAGGGCAGACCACCTTGCCAAACAAACGGACAAGGTCAGCGTGAACTGGCAAGAAAACGATAGAACAGTTAGAGTTTCCGTTGCCATGGCACAGGAGCCCAACCGTGATCATTGGATGCTGGAATTTGCCAGTCGCGACCGACGAGACCGGTCGCTACCAGTTTTGCTTCAATTTCCGGTATCGGTCGCGACCGATCGGTCGCGATCGGTGGCGACCCGTCGCGACCGAATCTGGGATCGGTCGCGATCGGCCGCGACCGATTTGGAGTGCCGATCTGTCGCTACCTCGAGAGATAACAACCAACCCTCACACCCACCAGGCTGATTTTTACATTTCCTTCCGGAACGCTTGCGGACTTAGTCGGCACGCCCCAGCGGCGACGATTGCGAATCGCGACGGTGCAAATATTTGTATAAAGCCGTGCTCGTTTTTATTCGACAGTTGTTGCGTGTTTATAAAAGCATTTTGCGTTCATAAAATTGCGGCATTGCACCTGCAATGTCCCAGGCAATTTCGTGCGCGGCAGCTTTTTATTTAAACGTTGCGGGTGTTTATTAATCACGCTTTTGCTCTATAACTGTGTGATTCCTTGGCCCTCGGCGCCTGATCTTTTCGCAAGTTGCCAGGGGCCTCTCTTTGAGCACGCGCAGCTGACGACGGTCGCTGGGTCACAAGCTCCACAGAGAAGCTTTGAATATATGAAGTGTGTTGCGGTGGGTGTGGTGGTGACTTGGGTCGCCTTCGCCGCCGATCGCGACCGAACAAATCGAGCATCCAATGATCTGGGGAGGGAGGAGGGGGGCGCCTTCTCTGAAGGGGCCCAGGGACACACCAATAGACAGACACAGATCCAAGGATGCCCCACGTGTGTCCATGTTTTCCGGAGGCTCGTCCCCCCCATTTCCCCTATTTTCCAATGTGTACGATCATTTGTGTCCGTGTGCGTGCTTTCTCTTCCTGACTCTCCTCTCTGGCGCCTCCTACAGCTAGCCAGGAGGCGGGGGGCGACTTCGGCTCGCGCCTCGCCTGAGCGCCTGCCGGCAGGACCTGCAGGCCGACCTCGGGGCCCGGCTAGCAGCCCTGGCCGCCGGCGGGGCGGGCGCCGCCGAGGCCAGTGCCGCCGAGAACGCTGGCGGCGGGCGCCCGCCGGGCGGCGCTGCCGTGCTAGAGGCTGGCGCTGCCGCGTGGGGGATCAGCAGACGTTTTCTGGGAGGCCACGCTCGACGAACAAACAGCGCCATAAGCGTAAAGTTTTTTGGCGTTCCGCGCGGGTATTTCTTGCGCCTCCAGCGCCGCCCCTGGCGCGCTCCGCACGCCAGGGACGGGGGCCCAACGCAGGTCCAAGAAATCCGCACGGAGTGCCAAAAGTTTATGTTTATGGTGTCTCTTCTTCTTTTGTTTATTATTAGTGTTGTTCTTATCATTATTATTTTTTCTGTTTAGTATTATTCTTCCTTTTCTTTTTCCCAACCATCCTGTGGTGTTGGGTCCTCGTTTTGAAGAGATGTCGCCTCGCGTTCCTCCTCCTCTCCTCCTGTTCCCCCTCCTCCCTACCGTCCGCATGCGTCACCCCCACCCAGTACAGCGTTTCGTGGCCCCATAAGGAGCCCCACCGAAGGTCCCAGTGCTACCGTCCGCATGCGTCCCCCCCCCCACCCAGTACAGCGCTTCGTGGCCCCATAGGGAGCCCCAGCGAAGGTCCCAGTGCTACCGTCCGCATGCGGCCCCCACACCCAGTACTGCGTTTCGTGGCCCCCTAGGGAGCCCCATCGAAGGTCCCAGTGCTACCGTCCGCATGGTTCCCCACCCCACCCAGTACAGCGCTTCGTGGCCCCATAGGGAGCCCCATCGAAGGTCCCAGTAATACCGTCCGCATGCGTCCCCCCCGCCCAGTACAGCGTTCCGTGGCCCCATAGGGAGCCCCACCGAAGGTCCCAGTGCTACCGTTCGCATGCGTCCCCCCCATCCAGTACAGCGTCTCGTGGCCCGATAGGGAGCCCCACCGAAGGTCCCAGTGCTACCGTCCGCATGCGTCCCCCGCACCCAGTACAGCGTTTCGTGGCCCCATAGGGAGCCCCACCGAAGGTCCTAGTGCTACCGTCTGCATGCGTCCCCCACGCCCAGTACAGCGTTCCGTGGCCCCGCAGGGAGCCTCGCCGAAGGTCCCAGTGCTACCGTTCGCATGCGTCCCCCACACCCGGAAATCTAAGTTGGCATTTTCACCCCACCCAGTACGGCGTTTCGTGGCCCTATAGAGAGCCCCACCGAAGCCCCCAGTGGCACCGTCCGCATGCGTCTCTGAAACACAATTTTGGTATTTTCACACCACCCACTACGGCGTTTCGTGACCCCGTAGAGAGCTCCACCGAAGCTCCCAGTGGGACCGTCCGCATGCGTCTCGGAAACCCAATTCGGCATTTTCATCCACCCAGTACAACGCTTCGTGGCCCCATAGGGAGCTCCGCCGAAGCCCCCAGTGGGACCGTCCGCATGCGTCCCGGAAACCAAAGTTGGCACACACACCCCTCATACGTTTCGTGGCCCCATAGGGAGCTTCACCGAAGCCACCACCTGGGACCGCCCGCATGCGTCCCACTCACCAGGTTTTGCATTTACTCCTCATACGTTTTGTGGCCCCATAGGGAGTTCGCCCGACGGCCCCAGTACTACCGCCCGCATGCGTCCCCCCCCACCCAGTGCAGCGCTTCGTGGCCCCATAGGGAGCTCCACCGAAGCCCCCAGTGGGACCGTCAGCATGCGTCCTGGAATCCACATGTGGCACACCCCTCATACGTTTCGTGGCCCCATAGGAAGCTCCACCGAAGCCACCAGTGGGACCGCCCGCATGCGTCCCACACACCAAATTCGGTATTTTCACCCCACCCAGTACGGCGTTTCGTGGCCCCATGGGGAGTTCGCCCGACGGCTCCAGTTCTACCGCCCGCATGCGTTTCCCCCCACCCAGTGCAGCGCTTCGTGGCCCCATGGGGAGCTCCACCGAAGAAAATGTTCACAATTGCGGTACCTACAACTGCATATGGTTGGGTCCGTCGCCAGGATAATTGTTCTTCTTCTTCTAGGATCAGCAGGCGCCTTCTAGGAGGCCACGTGCAAACCCGACCCCACCACCCGACGATTTCGAAGAGAGGAGGTGGGGTCGGGTTCGCTTGTGGCATCCTCTCTCAGGAACGATCCTCTGGGGCCCCTTTCGGAACCAGCAGAGGGGGCCCTTTTGTCGCCCCCCACATGTAGTAGGCACCCCCCCCAATACCACCCGCGCGAGGCCGTGCCGGACGTTGACGTTTACGGCCGTCGTCCCTCGCTCGAGACGTCCTTGCGATCCATGCAGGGCGCACTCTTCAGCATCCCGCCTGTTCGACCTGACCCGCCGGGGCCCGCCTTCCCGACCGGCCCGCTAGGCGTAAGTCGGGCACGTCCCTCTACAGGAGGAGTATTAAACGATTGTCAAGATAGAGTCAGGGGACGAATTTCTGCGTATGTTTGAATATTTTCTGAATATGTTTCTGATTATCTTTCATTTTTCGTCGAAAATCCCCCTGCAGGAAGACATGCCCGACCTAATGCTAGGTTCTGCCCGCCCGATCTGCCCGTCTGTTTCTACCACGTGGTTTTCTGCTCCTCGCCCCCCTGCTAATCTCTCTCGTGTTCCATCCTTCTCCCTCCCCCTTCCACCCGTCGTCTCTTCCCATTGTTTTGGGGCTGCGCTACATACACGTGGCAGGTGAGGAGTAAATTCCCCCACGGGGGTACGATCGAGGACGAAGAGGGCGCGAACCGAGAGTTTGGGATATACGTGTTGAATAGCACGCGAGCAGATAGGAGCGAACAGTTTTAACATGACTTTTGTTGAACTCTCACGTCTCAGGAATAATCATTGTTAATCCTCCCCGTCCGGTGCACATTGTTTTTTCTATTGAAGTGCCCTTCCCGGGGCTCGCACCTTGTTTTTCCCAACCATCTTGTGGTGTGGGGTCCTCGTTTTGAAGAGAGCGCCCCGCGTCTCTCCTCCTTTCTTCCTTCCTCCTCCCCCTCCTCCCTCCTCCCTCCTCCCCCTCCTTGCCTTTGCTCTCGGCACACCTCTCACACGTTTCGTGGCCCCATAGGGAGCTCCACCGAAGGCCCCAGTTGGGGTGTTCGCATGCGTCTCCCCCACCCAGGACAGCGTTTCGTAGCCCCATAGGGAGCTCCACCGAAGTCCTCAATCGGGGTGTTCGCATGCGTCTCCCCCACGCAGGACAGCGCTTCGTGGCCCCATAGGGAGCTCCACCGAAGGCCCCAGTGGGGGTGTTCGCATGCGTCTCCCCCACGCAGGACAGCGTTTCGTGGCATGGGGAGCTTCACCGAAGGCCCCAGTGGGGGTGTTCGCATGCGTCTCCCCCACCCAGGACAGCGTTTCGTAGCCCCATACAGGGTGTTTGCATGCGTCTCCCCCACCCAGGACAGCGCTTCGTGGCCCCATAGGGAGCTCCGCCGAAGGCCTCAGTCGGGGTGTTCGCATGCGTCTCCCCCACGCAGGACAGCGTTTCGTAGCCCCATAGGGAGCTCCACCGAATGCCCCAGTGGGGGTGTTCGCATGCGTCTCCCCCGCCCAGGACAGCGCTTCGTGGCCCCATAAGGAGCTCCACCGAAGGCCTCAGTCGGGGTGTTCGCATGCGTCTCCCCCACGCAGGACAGCGCTTCGTGGCCCCATAGGGAGCTCCACCGAAGGCCCCAGTGGGGGTGTTCGCATGCGTCTCCCCCGCCCAGGACAGCGCTTCGTGGCCCCATAGGGAGCCCCACCGAATGCGTTGCTTACAAAGACGGTACCCACAACTGCATATGGTTGGGTCCTTCGCCAGGCTAATTATCAGGGAAAATATCGAGGGTCAAACTGTGTCGTTGGCCCCCGGCTTACAAAAACAACAACAACACCAACACCAACACCAACAACAATAGCAACAACAACAACAGCAACAACAACAACAACAACAACAACAACAACAACAACAACAACAACAGCAGCAGCAGCAACAACAGCAGCAGCAGCAACAACAACGGCTCCCGCCTGATATTTCCTCGCAATTCATTGAAGAATCGCGCTTTCGCTTAGGACTTCCTTAGGACTTATTCTCCCGGCGCTCTGGAGTCGCGCTCTCGCTAGAGACTTGCTTGCAATTTACGGAAGAATAGCGCCCTTGCAATTTACTCCAGCGCCGCGCTCCCGACACCCAGGCACTCAGGAGTCGCGCTCACGCTTAGGACTCCCTTACAGACTATATAGGAATCGGGATCTCGCTGCCCTTCGTGGCCTCGTTGCAGCCCTTCGTGGCCTCCTCGCTGTGTTTCGTGGCCCCGTTGCAGCCATCGTGGCCCACTCGTTGCCCTTCGTGGCCCCGTTGCAGCCCCTCGTGGCCTCCTCGCTGCCCTTCGTGGCTCCGTTGCAGTCCTTCGTGGCCCCTTCGCTTTGTTTCGTGGCTCCTTTGCAGCCCTTCGTGCCCCCCTCGCTGCCCTTCGTGGCCCCGTCGCTGCCCTTCGTGGCCCCGTCGCAGCCCTTCGTGGCCCCGTTGCAGCCCTTTGGGGCCCCCTCGCTGCCCTTCGTGGCCCCGTTGCATCCCTTCGTGGCCCCCTCGCTGCCCTTCGTGGCCCCATATGTATGCCCTTCGTGGCTATGCATCTGTCCTACGTGGCCCAGTTGCTACCCGTAGTGGCCTCATCGTTGCCTTCTGTGGCCCCGCATTATCTGCCCTTCGTGGCCCCCGCTCGTTCGCGCTCTTCGTTGCCCCATACGCATTCCCTTCGTGTCCCCGCTGTTGCCCTTCGTGGCCTTTCGTGTCCTTGTGGCCCTGCTGTCGTTCTCGTTCGCTCTCGCTTTCGCTCGTCGTCGTCGTCGCCGTCGTCGTCGTCGCCGTTGTCGTCGACGTCGTCGTCGTCGTCGTCGTGGTCGGTCCCCTGTCCGTCCCTCTTGGTGTCGGGTCGACGGTCCGCGGCCGCCCCGCCGATCAGTGCTGCCGCTGGCCAGGCCGACGGTCCGCGGCCGCCCCGCCGCTTGCCGGGGCCCGGCCTGCAGGGAAGAAAGGTATACCCCCCAAAAGGAGTTCGATCGAAGACGAAGAGGGCGGGTATCGAGGGTTTGGGAAATAGGAATTTTGGGCACTCGAGCAGATAAGGGCGAACAGTCTTAAAATGATTGTTGTTGTTGTTGTCGTCGCCTCGCGTCCCATCTGCGACAAACCCGCGACCCACCAGCGACCCGTCCAAGACCCACCCAAGACCCACTCGTGGCACACCCGCGACCCACCCGCGACCCACTCCGCGACCCTCTTCTGAGCGCAGCAGAGAACCGTACCCACAGCTGAGTGGATTTTTCTAGAAGGTCCTCGGGGGAAAGCCCGCCGACCTCGGCATGAGCACTTTGGTTGCGGCTGTAGTCGATTTGGCCGTTCTGGGGCGTCACATCGACCAGAACCAGTACGAAGTTGGTTTGGGTGTTCCGGCGAATCTTGGCGTGCACAAAACGTCCTCCAGGGTGTGTCCTCGATGTGGTTGTGGTTGCTTGTAGCCCCCGCGCCTCTCGCGACCCGCCCGCAACCCACCCGCGACCCTCCCCGCGCCCGCCCCCTCACTCTCATCCGCAACTGCGTTGTGCTACATATCCAGATCCACCGCCTGCCAAGGTCCCCGAAGATCGATCGCCCAGGCGGTAGTTATTGATACATCCCCGCCGCACAGAGGAGGTGATGGAGAAGAATGAGGATGAGGATGAGGTGGAGGAGGAGGAGGAGAATGAGGAGGAGGAGGAAGAGGAGGAGGAGGAGGAGGAAGATGAGGAGGAGGAGGAGGAAAAGGAGGAGGAGGAGGCATGGAGGAGGAATGGAGGAGGAATCGAGGAGGAATGGAGGAGGAGAAGAGGAGGATGAGGAGGATGAGGAGTAGCAGGAGAAGGAGGAGGACGACGAGGACGAGGATCGAGGATCGAGGTTTCTTGCGAGGCCGCCGCCGCGGACTCCGCCGGCGGTCGCCCGCAGGGCGCTGCCGCAACAATCGGTTCGGGACGTATCTTGGGGTGGATTCTTGGTACGGCAGGTTTGCGTCGTGTCGACAGGCGGCGACCCCGCCGCTAGCGTGCCACGTTCAACGCCGCTGGCGACCCAGACTCGGTCGATGTGGAGCGATTCGACGTTTCGGCAGCGGCCGATCATTCAAGGTTGAACGATCCTCGCGGTGAGCCCCTAACCTCGATCCTCAAACCTCGATCCTCCATCCTCGATCCTGGATCGACGAAGACGGCAGAGACGACGGCGGAGGCGACGGCGGCGGCGGCGGTGCCACCCCCCCTGCGAGCGGCCGGGCACGGCGATGCTGCCGCCCCCTCAGCCAGAGCCCCCCAGCCCGCCAGAGGAGGCGCGCCCCGGCCGCCCGATGTCGTCGTCGACAACTCGGGCAGACGCCATAGAGGGTCATCACTGGTGATCGTTTGCTTATTCCTTGTTCTGCCGATCAGCGCGGGCCCTCGCACCCCCCCCCCCTCCCCATGGAAAAGATCTCTTAGCTTTCTTCGTCGCCTGTTTCGAGCAGGTGGGGCCTCCCCAATAATGAGGACGCACTGCTGCAAACAGTGGCACTAAGCAGAGGTCCGGAGCCAGACCCTCCCCCCTCCCCCCTCCCCCCTCACCTTCCGCCCAATGTCGACCGAATAAGAAAACGCTCACCTTGGCAATCACATGCGAACTCTCCAGTCAGGACGTTGAAACAAGGACCTCTTCGGGCTCAGGAGGGGCTCTGGTTTTCGGGCCGTTCCTCAGATCTAGTTCTGGGGACCTTATTCGAAGCCGCGGTTCGCCATGGCCAAACCACGCCGCTTCGTTTCTCACTGAGCAATTCTTCTGGTAGCACGATGACTGTACCCGAGCAGGTCAGAGGTCTGAGGCGAAAGCTGGGTTTCCGAATCCGAGGGATGTCTGCATCTAGCCCCAGCGTCGCTTGGACCAGCAGGGGTAGGGTTCGCATATTGCCGCGGAGCCACCCACGGTCGGGAGGATCGAAGTCTATGGCGCCCTCGAGGGCGCGAAATTCATCGCGCTTCGCGGTTCTACTCCGATTCCTCATCCTCCCCCTTCTCCCCTAGAGGGCGGCGCGAGCGCGCCATGTCATCCGCGCTTCGCGCAGCGCGAAGTTGGGCGCCCTTGGGGATGGAGAGAACGCAAGCGATGGACAGCAGTAGTTCCCGTTCCTGCCCTTTCTCAGCGGGGCTCGCTGCAGGTGTCACCACCCGTCGCCCCACGGTGGCCGCTGCCTGTTACGGACGGCATCCCTTGCCGATGCTTCTCGAGCCGTCAGTGCCTCCCGTCCCTCCCGCCATCCGCGGCCACCTTCCGCCCTCCTCTCCCCCTCGTGCCGTCAGACAATTCGAGTCCACCCGCACTGCAAGGATGGGCAACCTTCCCCAGGGTGCCCCTGCATCCTTTCCCGTCGGCCCATCCCTTGCCGCTTTCGCCGTCCGCTCCCCGCCCCCAAAGCAGAGCGTCGACATGGCCCTCCAAGGCCCTGGCATCCTTACCGCGTATCCCTATTCTACTGGTTGACTGTAGTGTTCCGTGCCCAGGATTCCTAGAGCGCGCGTGCGGATTGCCTCTGCCGCGCTGCGAGGACAACAAGCTTTGGGCGGCGTTCGCTAGTGAGCATCGTACCGATCTCTTCTGTCCACGTCTTGGGCGATGCCGATGCAGTCGGACCGAGGTGCAAGGTCGAGGCCGGTTCGGGGAGGCCACCCTGATGCTCTTCGAGCTGGTCGGATGCTCGTGTGCATCCTCGGGAGGGTACGCTTGGATGTTCTGTGTGTTTTGGCCGGCAGAGGGTCTCGTGTCCTTGGGGGATGCTCTATCTTTGGTATGGCTGTGCCAGGCTGGACGAGGAGTGGTGGTTGTTTGGGAAAAAGGTGGCGGGCGGTACGAAATCCGCTGCGTGCAGCTGGTGTCGGCGCGACCGCCAGGCACTCTCCTCGACACACTGGGTGTCGCCAGGCTCTCCCGAGGATCGAGCTCCGATGAGCGACCGCCGCGTGCTTTTTTGTCACGAGTTTTTCAGAGGGGCTCTGGAAGGGTCGCGGGGTCCTGATGGGGTCCTCCGCGGTGGAGGCCCCCTCCCCCCTCCCTGATCATCGGATGCTGGAATTCTCCAGTCGCGACCGACGAGATCGGCCGCTGCCTATTTTGCTTGAAGTTTCGGCATCGGTCGCGACCGACAGAAAGTCGGTATCCAATGCTCTGGGCTCGGCAGTTCCTGGACAGAGTTGTCGAGGAGGAGGATGAGGAGGAGGAGGAGGAGGGAGGAGGAGGAGGAGGAGGAGGAGGACGGAGGTGGAGGACCGAGGAGGAGGAGGACCGAGGAGGAGGAGGACGGAGGAGGGAGGACGGAGGAGGAGGGCCCGGGCGTCCACGGAGGCTCTCGTGCGTCGCCACGGCCCGTGGCGGCTCGGACGGCCTGCCATGACCTGCGCTTGGGCGTCGGGGTGCTCGTTTGTCGGAGCGGCTTCCCTGTCGCGCCCTTGCCGCGCCCTGCAGACGCTCGCGAGCGAGGAGGGCCCCCGACGACGGAGGCGGAAGGCTTTTCGATTCGAGGAGGCTTCCTCGGAGGCCTCGGAGGGCTGGCCTGCGGGAGGACCCAAGGACGGGGCCCCTGCACGGCTGCGCCAGGAGCACCTCGAGGAGCACCCGACGTGGCCCCCAGGGCGGCGGCGGAGTCCGAAGTGTTTTTGGGCCTCTCGAGGCCCCGGCGGGGCCCCGTGACCGTCAGCAGGCGACGCGGGACGAGAGGCCGGTCCCCGGGCCTCTGAGGGGGGTCTCCAGAGGTCTCTGGAGGTGTGCGGATGTCTCCCGCGGCCCACAAGCGAATATGTTCCATAAAACAGCATAGCAGACAAGAGAAAGCAAACGTCCCCCCTACACACAGGAGCGAGGACGGTGGAGGGAGAAGACAAGAGACGGAGGGACGGGTACGTGGAGGAGGGGGCAGGGGATGGTGATGATGATATTGATGATGATGCTGCTGATGGTGATGCTGATGATGATTACGATGCTGCTGATGATGCTGATGATGATGAGGATGAGGATGATGAGGCTGATGCTGATGCTGATGCTGCTGCTGATGATGCTGATGCTGCTGATGATGATGCTGATGCAGATGAATATGATGATGGTGATGCTGCTGATGCTGCTGCTGATGATGATCATGCTCATGCTGATAAGACGAGGATGGGGAGGAGGAGGAGGAGGAGGAGGAGGAGGAGGAGGCCTCCATGGCTGGGTTCCTGGAGACCGCGGGAGGTCCACCGCTTCAGAAGCGGCGACTTCTCGGCCGAGAAGGCGCGGCGCGCTGCTGCTCGCGCGGGCCCGGGGTTCGTGCGCGGGCGGCCTGTCGCTCCTGCCCTCCTGAGGCATCGAGCAGGGGCTCGGCTGCAGAGCTGAGTTGCTGCAGAGTTAGTTTTCTCGTCGGATCTACGAGAACATGCCTAGAACTCCCAGTAGATTTGTTGCGAAAGCTATGCGTATTTATCGTCGATTCGATGGGAAGAATTAAATTCTGGAGCGAAGGCAGAGAAGTGGAGAGGGAGGAGCACAGAGAGGAGGAAAGATACCGATGCCGATGCTCTTCCCTCGTTTTTCGCCGTTTGGAGGCCTCCTGGGAGGCCCTCGCCGCCGCCGCTGGAGTCGCATCGACATGCGGGTCAGAACATGCCCCGCGAGAGGTCCGGGGAGTGGCGCGTATCGGTGCGTCTTGGTTTTCCCAGAAGTGGAAGGAGCAGGAGGTGCAGATTTGACGGAGCGAATGTGGTATCATTCCACAATGGCGAGAACACTCATGTTGTTATCATGCCAAAGCAGTGGCAAGCATGAGGGTACGGATGCTCGGGTGTGCGAATGCGGTGAACATAGGGGAAGTCGGGGGGGACCACGAAACTCCAGAACTTTTGGACACATGTGCGGCATCCTTGGATCTGTGTCTATCTATTTGTGTGTCCCTGGGCGCCTTCAGAGAGGGCGGCCTCCTCCTGTATGCAATCCCCGGGCCCCCGGTGCGCCCCAGCTCTGGGAGCGGCTGTCCAACGGCTCCGCCGGCGACGTCTGCAGCTCACTGACGGACGCCGCGTCGGTCCTGGAGCTCAACGGGCACGGCGCTGGCAGGCTCCCTGCCGTCGCGGCGCGGCAGCAGCACGGGAACGTGACCTGCGCGGGGAGAGCAGGGCGGGGGGGGGCAGGTGGATGTTGAAGGATAACTAACGGGGAGAGCGGAGGAGGGAGGAGGAGGAGGAGGAGGAGGAGGAGGAGGAGTACAGGGATGGGTCGCATGAGAAGAGGGACGGGAGGAGGAGGAGAAGGAGGAGGAGGAGGAGGAGGAGGATAATAATTAGGGGGGGAGACCAGAAGCTGTGGGAGGAGCAGGAAGGGAGGGAGGGAGGGAGGGAGGGAACGGATCATCGGGGAGCAGTCTTTGGGGCCCCGGTGCCGTTTCGCCCTCCTGGAGGGTCGGGGGGAGAAGCAGGTCCTCTTCCTCTACTCCCTCCGCAGCAACATAAGACAAGCACGGGGATAATGTATGTTGGCCAGCGTGGATCCCGACCAGAGCGTCATTGATTGCGCCCAGGAGGTGGAAGCTCTCCCGTGTGAGCTGCGTGGTGTGAGCCATGGGGGTGGGAGATGCGCGGAGTAAGCTATGCAGTGCAAGTTATGTGGTGTGAACTGGATGTGGAAGCTGTGGGGCGTAGTCTACAGGATGTAACCTGTGGTGTGCGAGCTATGCCGTGCCAGCTTGGTGGTGTAAGCCATGTGGTGAAAGCTAGGTCGTGGAAGCTCATATCACGGGGTGTCCACAAGGCGCTCACAAGGCGGTACGCGCGGCAACGTGGCGCAGCCTCGGCAAACCCACCCAGCGCGCAATGAGATCTCCCCAGAATTCATGGCCCTCGTCTTCTTCTTCTTCTTCTTATCCTTATTATGTTTCTTCTTATTCTTCTTCTTTCAAGGCGTCGCCTGACCAGCACCCCCTGGGCCGCGCACGTGCCTCGTGCCGTGGTTTGCGCCGTGGTTTGCGAACCCCTCTCTTGGACGCCCCCCCCCCCACATGGACCCCCCCGGGACGGAGCGGAGGAGCCGCCCTCCAGGGCCAGGAAGGAAGGCGAAAGAGGGAGCAGGCAGCAGCGGATCATCAGCAGCATCCGACGCTTTCAGGCGCGTGGGCTCACGACGGGACCCGCTTTTCTGTGCAACATCGGCGCGCTCCGTCGCCAAATGAGGCCGCACCGGCCTGATGTCTCGTGGGGTGCTTTCCCCGATCCGTGGATCTGGCGCTCGCGAGCCAGTGGGGGGCCACATGCGGACCCTACCCCTACCCCCTACGATTTCTGAGGGGGAGGGTGGGGTTCACTTCGTTCGGGCGCTCCCGAGCGAAGTGAATTCCACCCTCCCCCTCAGAACTCGTGGGGGGTAGGGGTAGGGTTCGCATGTGGCCCCCTAGCCAGATCCACGGATCCCAAGTCCATGTCAGCGTGTGCCCAGCGAACTACGGCGCGTGGACGAACGACAGTTCCCGTGATCATACGCAATATCGGCGCGCTCCGCCGCCGAATGCGGCCGCACTGGACTCATGTCTCGTGGGGTGTTTCTCCCCCCTTCGGTAGCAGATCATGGGAGCCTGGTATACCCTTTCAATTCGTTTTTAGCGTCGACTAGCGTCGATTAGCGTCTGGGACTCGATGAGATAGCGCCGATTTGGCGTCGGATAGCGTCGGATAGCGTCGATTTAGCTTTGATTTGGCGTCGATGTGCGTTGATTCGCCGCAAGAGTCGACAAGATTGTATCGACGGCTCCCATGAGTTGCAACGGAAATCTCCCGCGTCTCCCCCGTGTTCCTCTCGCCCCTCTCTTCCCTGTGTTTCCCCCCCCCCCCCGACCTCCTGGCTGGCTGCAGGAGGCGCAGTAGAGGAGAGAACACGTACACAGACACAAATGATCTTCGGTTCCCAGGAGCGAATTGGAAAATATGGGAGGTGGGGGGACGACGAAACTCCAGATAATATGGACACATGTGTGGCATCCTTGGATCTGTGTCTATCTATTTGCGTGTCCCTGGGCGCCTTCAGAGAGGGCGGCCTCATTCTCCCTCCCCAGTTCGTTGGGTACCCGACTTGCTCGGTTGCGATCGGTAGCGACCGATCGCCACTCTAACTCGATCGCGACCGACCGCGACCGATCCCCAAATCGGTCGCGAGATCGCCACCGATCGCGACCGATTGGTTGCGAGCGATCGGTCACGACCGATTTTGAAGCAAATCGGTCGCGACCGATACCGAAATTCGAAGCAAAATGGGTAGCGACCGATCTCGTCGGTCTCGATTGGAATATTCTGGTATCCAGTGATCAGGGCTCCTCCAGCCCTTGAAGCTGGCTGTGGGTGTGAGGTGGCCCAGCACTGGTTCCGGCCAGCAGGAAAGGGCAGGTTCGGGGTCCTGGGTTCGGGAAGGTTGCTGACCTTTTTCTACTTCTGGGGGCCGTTTTCGGGCTCCGGAACAGTAGAAAACGGATCCAAGATGATACATTCCGCCAGATAGACCCCGGGAGGGGTCTGGGGACCGTTTTTGAGCAGATTTGGCTTCATCCCCCCTCCTGACCGACATCCTAAGGTCCCAACCAATTCAGACCCCCTGGTTGCCTCCAACCCCGCCCCCTCTCCCTCCCTCAAGGAATACCCGCCTCCCATCCTCGAATTTCAATCGTGATTTGGCGACGCGTCCCGCTTTCATGCAAACTGAGCGCGCTCTGTCGCCAGTCAGCCGGCACTTCAATCGTGCTTTGGGGAGCTGTCTCTCCGATCCACAGATCCTTAATCCATGTCAGCGTGTGTCTGACACCTCCACCTGTCCTCCCCCTCCCGCCCCTCCCGCCCTGAGCTCCTCTTCGCCCTCACGAGAGCTTTTTTTCATTCCTTGGCGATAACGGGCGTTACCGGGGGGAAAGGGGACGGGGATGGAACGGTGACCTCAAGTTTCGCGCAGGCGCCGCCGTCTGTTCTGGAAAAGCCAGCGACAGCTCGGAGGTCAGCGCGAATTGTGATGTACCTGGAGGGCGGGGGGGGGCCAGCTGGGGCTGGCAACGTCCGCTACCGCGAAAAATAAGCACGCTCTCCATCCTCCCGCAGCTCTTATGCTCCCAGAGAACCACCTTCCCCTCCCGCCCCCGCCCCGCCCGCCCAGCCCTCCCGACGCCCGGCGGAACATCGCCAACGGCCGCGCCTCCGATAACTGGAACATCATCAACCAAGGTTGGCGCCCTCCCCTTCTCGCTTTGCAGGGCTCGTTTCGGTTCCCCCGATTCGATTCGACCCGATGCCGATGGGTTCCGATGCCGATTCGATTCGACTTGGGATTCCGATCTGGGATCCGAGTTCTCACTGCAGGCCTACAAGCCTGCCGATGTCTGCCGATTCGACTTGTCCCGGCTCGGCTGCCGATATCCGTCGATCCGACTCATGTCCATCGCCGATCCGACTTGTCGATTCGATTCTGGGCTCTCCTGCCCCCCCCCTCCCTTCGCGCCGAGCCTCAGGGGAGAAGCATGCACTGACACCGCTTGGAGCCGGCTGGGGGTCTGAGGTGGCCCAGCCCTGGTTCTGACGGGCAAGCAAGGAAGGCAGTTTCGAGGTTCTGGGTTCTGGAAGGGTTGTTGTTTTTTTGCTGTTCGGCCTTCGGGGGCCGTTTTCGGCACGAAGGCAGCGAAATACGGATCCTGTGTGAAAAACTGCACCAGATAGATCCGGGGAGGGGTACGCGGACCGATTTTCAGCGGATTTGGCTTCATCACCCCTCCCTGACCGATTGTCTGGGGTCCCAGCCAGCGTCGAGGCTCAGCGGAGGAAAAAATACCGAGCTGCTGCCCTTGTCTCGTGTTCGCATTTGGGGGCCTCGTGGGAGGCCCTCGTCGCCACCGCTGGATTCGCCTCGACATCGCGAAGGCCTGACGGCCGGTGCCGCCGACCCTGAATGGGGACGACGACGACGACGACGACGACGACGACGACGACGACGACGACGACGATGACGGCGACGGCGACGGCGACGGCGACGGCGACGGCGACGACGACGACGACAAACATCCACCAACTTTCTTTGAATCTACCCTCTTGGGGTTGTCTTGGCAGTGCTTTTTGGATTTTCTTGGACCTATTTGGGGCTTTTTGGGGGGTTCTTGGGCGCCTCTTGGGGCCTCCTGGGGGGCTCTTGGGGTGGAAGGCTCGAGCGGTCGATTGGTGCTCCCCCTCTCGGGAGCCTCTCCCAGAAGGGGTCTGGAGGGGTGGAGGTACCAGACGCGGCGGAGGTCAGGGCGGAGGTTAGGGTCGGTTCAGGTCGAGAACTTGCAAGGCCGTGGGGGTCGGGGTTCGGGGGCAGGGTCGGTTCCGGGGGTGTTTTAAAGTCGAGGTCGCAGAAGGAGTTTGGAGGAGTGGAAGTGCCAGGCCCCGCGGGGGTGGGGGGTCCCCATAATAGAGATCCAAGATGAGGTCTGGAAGGGTGGGGGTGCTGGACGCGATGAGGGGGTTCAGGGTGGGTATCAGGGGAATCAGGGTCGGTTCCGGGCGAGGAATTGCAGAGTGGGGGGTCTCCAGACCAGAGGTCCCAGACGAGGTCCGGGAGGGGTGGTGATGCCAGACGCGGTGGTGGTCAGGGTGGGGGTCAGGGGGTCAGGGCCAGTTCTGGGTGAGAAATTGCAGGGCGGGAGGTCCTGGAACTTGACGTTTCAGAGGAGGTTCGGAAGGATGGGGATGCCAGACTCGGTCGAGGTCAGGGTGGAGCGGTTGAGGGAGAGAACTTGCAGGGTGGGAGGTCCCTAAACCAGATGTCCCAGAAGAGGTTTGGAGGGGTGCCGCGGCCAGGTGCGGTTTGGGTCAGGGTGGAGGTCAGGGTGAGAAATTGGAGGGTGGGAGGTCCGCAGACTAGAAGTAGTCCCAGATGGGGTCTGGAGGGGTGGGGGTGCCAAGCGCGGTGAGGGTCAGGGTGGTGGTCAGGGTCGATTCCAGGCGAGAGGTTGCAGGGTGGAGCTCCCTATTCTGGAGGTCCCAGAAGGGGTCAGGATGGGTTGGGGTGCCAGTCGCAGTGGGGGTCATGGTGTGGGTCAGGGTCGGTTCTGGGCAAGATCGTGTAGAGAGCGGGCGCCCTGAACCAGACGCTCCAGGATTGGTCTGGAGGAGTGGGGGTGCCAGGCGCGGTGGGGTTCAGGGTGGAAGTCAGGGTCGGTTCTGGGCGAGAGAGTGCAGGATGGGTGGCCCCCTCAGGAAAGGTCTCAGAAGTGGGTCGTCGCCACCGCTGGATTCGCCTCGGGAAGCGGGGGTGTCGGTAACTACCTTCGGCAGTCTGCCGCCCCAGAGTTCTGACACGCCAGGAGCAAACAACGGTATACGTACGTCTGAGATTCCCCAGGGGAAGTCAAGTGAGCCCCTCGATGGGCCCAGTGAGTCAGCTAGCCTACTTGAGTCCCTCGAGAGCCCGCCAGCCATAGCCTCTCGCTCTCTCTATTTCTGTTCTCTGCCCGTCTCCGTGCCCCGTGCTCTGTGCCCGTCGCCGCGTTTGGCTCCCAGGCCGGCCTTTTAGTTGTTGCTCTCGTACCCGTCTCCTTCGGAGCCGCCGCGTGAGCAGAATTTCACGGAACGCGAGCCTCGCGGGGATTGCATTTCGAGCGATTGCAGAATCATCAGTTGCACAATCAGACTGGTATATCGGAGCTTGTGGTTTCGATTGTGGGCGTGGCCGCGCTCTCACCGACGGACGTGATTTTGAGCCCATACGCTACAGCGGAAACTTCAGAGATGAACGGTCAAGGTCAGGGTCGATCGTACTACCGCGACGATGAGATAGTTGTGGTCCGGGACGGACTGCCGCACCACACGGGCGCGAACCCCGCCTTGTTGAAGGAATACACGAAAAGAGTCAACCTGGCGCTGGCGCGGCTCGAGGGTTCGGTCTCGGACGAGGACACTCGCCTAGAGAAGAAGCAGAGAAGGTTTCGGGTGAAGTTTGTGGATGGGCTACACGGGCGAGCCTGGAAGAGAGCGGAGCATTTGGCGGCCAATCCCAAGGAGCTGAAGCGGAGAACGGCGAACAGTTGGTTTTCGACGCGCTGGCGACGCTCGACAAAGAGGCAATCGTCAAGAAGGGCATGGCGTTCGATAGCTTCTTCAAGTGGAGCTACCGTAAGCGCGGCACCGACATGGGCGAGCACCTGGCAAATAAGGAGAAGTTGTGGTAGGACCTGCAGGAGAAGGACAGCACGACGAGGTTATCAGACGATCTGATGGCCTACTTCCTGCTGGACGGCGCGGGTCTGACGGAGGATCAGAAGAGGGGCATCGTGATCAACAGCGGCTGGGAGTACAACTTGGAGGCTTTCCAGCACGCGCTCAGGGTCAACTTCCACGACGCTCACGAGAAGGAGCGCAGGAACCCGCAGCACCAGCACCAGCACAAGAAGAGCAACCATAAGTGGAGCAACGGTCACCGGGGCAAGGCGAACCAAGTGGAGGACCACGAGGAGCCGGAGATCTCAGAAGAAGAGTTCGACGACGAGGAGCAGGCCAACGCGGTCGAGGAGCAGGGTGACGACCACAGCGACGCTGGAGTTTCCTACGACGACGAGATCTTCGAGGCGTACTCGGCCTTCGAGGCGGCGCGGAGGAAACTGAAGGACACGCAGAAGCAGCGAGGAGTCTTCAAGGGCGAGGTTACCTTCGAGGAGTGGCAGGAGGCGATCAAGGAGGAAAAGAAGCGGACGCGATGTGGAGCCTGCGGTCGCATCGGACACCTGGGCGGGAGACAAGGATTGCCCGAATAGTGGGCAACGAGGAGCCAAGAAGTTCGGAGGTAAGGGCGCCAAGCCGACGGGAAAGGCGAAGCCCGGGAAGCCGAAGCGCGCGTTCTTCACGTTGGACGAGAACGACGACGACGACGTCGAGATGGACGAGGCCTACGCGGGCGCCTTCGCGGTCGACGGCGAGTCAGAGCAGCGTGACTTTGACGAGCAGGACGACAGCGACTCGTTTCAGGAGGGCGACAGCGACGACGAGGTCGGCGTCGAGCGCGAGGACGGCGGCTACCACAACAGGGACTACGACAAGGACCGAAAGAGGTCGCAGGGACCAGCAGCGGCGGCAGCGACAGCAAAACCCAAACCCAAGGCGAAGCCGATGATCAAGCCGACGAAGGCGCCAGAGGTGGGGGACAGCATTCCGACCGAGAACTTTGGAGAGTGGAAGACCCGCCTGAGCGAGCTGGATTTGCAGGTCAGCGGCAAGCGCGAGATCCTCATCGAGCGGCTGATGGGTTACAACGCGGGCACCCCACAGGTCGAGAGGGGGTGCAGCACTGCCAGGGCGGCGGGAGCATCGTGTTCGGGATCTTCGGTGAGGCTGCGAGGCGAGAACATCAAGTGCGCCGACTGCGGGAAGTACGGACATCATGGAGTTGACGTTCGCTGCCCACCCTCCGCGGAGATGAAGGCCTACAGGGTGGTGCAGGAGCGCCGGGAGCAGCTCGAGCTGGAGCTGGGCGGCAAGCCGATCACCAAGCCGATGATGAAGGAGAGTTCAACGAGCTCAGCAGCATCGTCAGTATCAGCGACCTGGGAGTTCATCGACCAGAGCAACGTCATCAACGAGCTCGCCTGCCCCGTCTGCAGCCGCGTCGGCATGGCGCTGAAGGTCAACAGGATGAACGGGAATAAGTTCTACGGGTGTCCGCAATACTTCACCATCATGAAGTGCAAGGGCACGGTCGACCAGATGAAGGTGAACGCGGGCGGCTCTTCGAGCCGTTCTTTTCGCGCCTACGCAGGGGCTGGGCCAAGGAGGAGGCTCGACGTCCCCCGCAATGTCGGGGAGCTTCCTGGGTCGAGGACGGGGGCGACCATTTTGGAGGCGCCCGACGAGGCGAGTTCGCCGCCGAGCAGGTCGGCAAGCGCAAGCTCATCTTGTTCAACGCTGGGGTTGAGCGCAGCTTCAACGACCAGCTGGGGAATTCAGGCAGCCTACGCGATCGCCAACGGCAGCGCGGTTCACTCAATTAGCTTCGACGCCGTGGCGTTGGTCGACACAGCGTGCACCCTTTGCATGCGCAGTCAGCACTGGAGACAGCATCCCGAACGATTGCCCCCACTTGGCTTGGCGCGGCGGCCGACCGGCAGCTATAGGCTCTTCGCCTTCGCGAGTGGCACCAAGCGAAAGGGCGATGTCCGCCCCGATCGGCATCGGCGGCTACCGCGGCGAGGCGCGCTCAACGG